CCGCTCTCATCAGTGGAGAATCTCAGAGGGTTGAACTGAGGAAGGGACAAGGAACCCAGCAAAGGTTTTAAGGAACTTCCTGAGAGGGAACTACAGACAGCATTAGGAAGAGAAGTCCAGTGTGGGACTGTATCTCTCTCCCCATAGGTAGCAACCAGACTGTAGCATCTCACCTTGGCGGCCCGTTGATGTGGCCACAAAAAGCTGCAGCTGCAGCCAACTGGCCCTGCCAGGAGCTGTGGGAGCCGAGTTGGTACCATCAGCTCTGGCTGAGGTGGAGCAGGGAAGCCGTGCAAGAGTGAATGCAGCCTGTGGGGACGCAAGCCTCCGAGCCTGCTCCCGGAGAGGGGAGTGCCCCCCGAGGACAGCCATGGAGAAAATGGCCAGGGTCACCACTGCCCTGGGGGGCAATGCCCTCACAGGACGGACCATGTTCTGCCACCTGGATGCCCCCGCCAATGCCATCAGCGTGTGCCGCGATGCTGCCCAGGTGGTGGTGGCTGGTCGCAACATCTTCAAGATCTACTCCATCGAGGAGGACCAGTTTGTGGAGAAGCTGAACCTCCGTGTCGGCCGCAAACCCTCCTTGAACTTCAGCTGCGCGGATGTGGTGTGGCACCAGATGGATGAGAACCTGCTGGCCACCGCTGCCACCAATGGCGTGGTCGTCACCTGGAACCTGGGCAAGCCATCCCGCAACAAGCAGGACCAGCTCTTCACTGAGCACAAGCGCACTGTCAACAAGGTCTGCTTCCACCCCACTGAAGTCTACATGCTCCTCAGCGGCTCCCAGGATGGCTACATGAAATGCTTCGACCTGCGCAAGAAGGACTCAGTCAGCACCTTCTCTGGTATGAATATGGGCTGGTGCTTGTCCCCTTACCCTGTTGAGAGGTAGAGGTTGGAGGCTTTGCCTTTTCCCCGTGCCTGAGAGGAGGTTTTGCTCAGAGCAGGATGTCCAGAACAGGCAGGGAGGGAGCTGAAAGACATTTTGCTGCTTTTTTTTGCTGCTCGGCAGTGGGCTGAGTCTGTTCTGTGGAAGGTGGCCACATCGCTCCCTTCTTCCCCTTCTCTCTGGGCTGGGGACCCTCATGGCTCTTCCACTGGGGTTTTTAGCTTTGCTGGAGTCCTATCCCACTGGATTTCAATTTCTGTCCCCACTCAGGCCAGTCGGAGAGCGTGCGTGATGTCCAGTTCAGCATCCGAGACTACTTCACCTTTGCCGCCACCTTTGAGAATGGGAATGTGCAGCTGTGGGACATCCGCCGGCCAGACCGCTACGAGAGGATGTTCACGGCCCACAACGGGCCCGTCTTCTGCTGCGACTGGCACCCAGAGGACAGGTGTGTGTGTGGGGATGGACCCTGCCAGGCCTTGTCAGAGACGAGGGAGGACCCACAAACAGATTTGGGACTTTTTGGAAAGGCGAAAACAGGGTCTCTGTTACCTGGCCCCTTGTGTCAGGGGCTGGGCTCTGGCTGGAAGGTGGGAGCAATTATTGCTTTGATCTGGGGGGTGTATTGGGTTGTTTTCTTTCTGGTTTTGGTGGGGTTTTTTGGGTTTTTTTGGTTTTTTGTATGGGTTTTTTTTACAAGTCAAGGTTTCCTGAAGGACTGGATTGTTAATGAAGATGGCAAGCTGCTGTCTTGCCCTTTATGTCAGGGCAGCCTCTGATGCTCAGCTCGGGACTAGATGCTGCACAGCTGCTCTGGGTCATGACTCACGTGTTTGATCACATTTTCCTCCTGCCTTTCCCTAGGGGTGGTTGGGGCACATCTGGAAACAGCTGTGGTGCGTAGGTCCCTCCTTGCTCCCTGCTAGGCAGCAGTGTGACTCCTCGTAAGCTGAGAGAGGCACTGAAGTATGTTCAAACTGGCCTTTTCCCCAGTTTGTGTCTTTGGCAGGTGGAAACCAGAGGTGAGGGGAACTGGTCTGACTGGGAGTCCTTCAAATGAGTGCAGCTGTAAAGGCTCAGGGCCTTAAATGGGAATGGGAAGGATGAGTGTTGCCTGACCTGGTTATTGGAGAGCCGAGGTGTCAGGGTAGTGTGTGGGAGGAGGCGACTGCAGCCCAGTTGCTTCTCCTTGGCATGGATGTGGTCACTTCTGTGCTGGGGCAGGAAAGGAGAGGTGAACGGGCATGGATCCTGGCCCAGGCTGGTGTCTCACCATCGTTCTCCATCCTTCTCCCAGGGGCTGGCTGGCAACAGGTGGCCGGGATAAGATGGTGAAGGTGTGGGACATGAACACCACGCGGGCGAAGGAGATCTACTGCGTGCAGACCATCGCCTCGGTGGCCCGGGTGAAGTGGCGCCCAGAATGCAAACACCACATCGCCACCTGTTCCATGATGGTGGACCATAACATCTACGTTTGGGATGTGCGGCGTCCCTTCATCCCCTCTGCCATGTTTGAGGAGCACAAGGACGTCACCACGGGCATTGTGTGGCGTCACCTCCACGACCCCTATTTCCTCCTGTCGGGTTCTAAGGACAGCACCCTCTACCAGCATATCTTCAAGGACGCCAGTCAGCCCATCGACCGGGCCAACCCTGAGGGGCTGTGCTACAGCCTCTATGGAGACCTGGCCTTCGCCGCCAAGGAGAGCCTCGTCTCCTCTGACTCCAACCGCAAGCCCTACATCGGGGACCGGCGTCACCCCATCTTCTTCAAGCGCAAGCTGGACCCCACGGAGCAGTTTGAGTACATCTCCTCCTCCAGCACCCTCAGCGTCTTCGAGACGGATGTGGAGAGCGGCAGCATGGACTGGTTCGTGCACATTGCCAAGCAGTACACGCTGGTTGGCAGGCCCCTGGCTGAACTGTGCGACCACAATGCCAAGGTGGCCAAGGGCTTGGACCGCAACCAGGTGAGACCTCAGCTGGAGACTCTCACTGCAGACCTAGGCTGGTGCCGAGGAGCTGTCAGGATGAGGCTTGGCAGCAAACCTGTACCACCGTTGCCTACAACAGGCATAGATCATTGCCCACAAACTTGACCCCCCCCCGAGAGCCTGCCCAGCTCTCTAGATTGGCCAGTGATGGGAGCTTGCAGTCAGGCACACGGTTGCATGTGTTGTCCCAGAATCAGAGTTCTGACCCAGTGTGCAAAATCCAATTGACACACACAGAGTTGAGATTTTTGTTTTATTGCATTTCTGCACAAAGATGGGTGCTAGGTGGTAACTCCACAAAGTCAGCACACCTTCCCCGAGATACGGGAGTTTTTATACACCAAAAATTGCAAAACTGCCTTCTCTAAGTACCAATATCATTCATCTATATGATTGGCTAACAAACTCTTTGCTTCCATTTAAAGTGGCAGTGCTGCTGGTTTTTATCACGCATGCCCACTGAGGAGTGGGCTTATGTGAGTAGGGGGCTTTTTCTTCCCTAGAGGTGTGGTTTTACCCTGCTAATGAGGAAAGTTCTTTCAAAGTTTACTTTTTTGGTTGGTTACTGATGTCCCAGATAGCTTCTGGGGGCCTGTCTACTCCAGTCAAGGATGCGCAACATATGCAAGCAAGTGTTGTCAGACCTTTTGCCTACACCAGGGTCTCCAGATGGTTCTTGTCTTAGCGCATCCTGTCTTAAAATAAACGAGGCCCACGATTTCCGTCATCACACAGGGTCTTGTTTTTAGCCTGGTGAGGTCTGACCGCAATTGTCTTTCCTTCAGGTGGCTCAAACTTGGACCATGCTGCGAATTATCTATTCCAGCCTTGGCACCGTGGCATCCACCAACCTCAACCACAGCATGGGAAAAGGCAGCACTGCCCTCCCGCTTATGAACAGGTAAGGAGTGCCGGAGCCACAGTGAGTGACGTGACGGCTGAGGCAGCTCCATGAATGGGAGAGGAAACTGCTCCTCTGCTGGGCTAGAGTCACGGGATGGGAGCAGGGATGGCTCTTCCGCAGCTTCAAGCCACGCTGGTTTGCAGGTTGGCATCATTTGAAGGCAGCCATTTTCCATGTGGGTGTGAAAAGCAGGTGGCCAGCCTGGCCTTGAGCCGTGCAAGCCTTGTACACTGCTCCCTCCCTTCCTTGAAATGAAGTTTGAAGCTGTGGTGGGACTGGTACCATCTTTGCAGTTATTTAATTAGTGACCATGAGCAAGAGCTGGGGTTGGAGAATCCCCATCTCACCGCTGGAGCCACAGCTGCTGGTGTGGAGAGGACAGCCCAGCTGTGCAAGCAGCTCGCTGGTGTGGAGAGCCTGGTCATGGGCTGGTGAAGCAGGAAAACTTGATTTTCCTCTTCTTGATGACATATAAAATTGGAAGTGAGGAGTCTGAATTAACTGTCAGACCTTGCAGGGCTGGGTTCCCAGGGTGAGTGGCAAATTCTCGAATATCAAACAGAATACTCTCCTTGACCGAGCTCTGCATCCAGACGAGTCGCTGTCTGTTGCTGCCTGAAACACTGCAAGCAGCAAGCTCAAGAGCTCTGCTCTGCTTCAACCCCATCCCCTTCCTTTTCCATCTTGGTGAAGCTTGAGAGCGATGATGCATAACAAACAGCAAAACACCTTGTAGCAAGGCGGCTCCTGTTCACCTACCTCTGAGGTGAAGGCAAACGTTATCTCTTAACCAAAAGGTTTGGGAAACCTTTGTGGGTTGTGGGTGCCTTTGCAGTGCAGGTGCAGAGATGCCAGGCTTGAAGAAAGGGCTGTGTTAGCAATTGCAATGTGTCTTTATTTTTAAGTTACAACACGGTACAGCTGACTTCTTTGCTCTCAGGGAAGTCACCGTGTCTTGTACTTCACTGCAATCGCAACTGGAGACCTATTTTCAGGCTGTTTGCTGGCTAGAACGGAAGCTGTAAACTTCTGTGACTGTTAAATTTGGTTTCTTTCCCAGCTTTAACCTGAAGGACATCCCCTCTGGGCTGGGCAGCGAGTCAAGACTGGACCGCAGCAAAGGAGAAAGCCGCACGGAAAACATCCTCATGGATTCCTCCTCCACCCTGATCAACAATGAAGGTAAATGTTTCTGGGGTGGGCACAGTCCCAGTCCTGCGGCTCTTCTTTCCTCAGCTGTCAATGGCCCTGATATGGGATAAACCAGTAAATTTATCCAGTAAATTAGGGTGAGGGGACCTGCTGCAGTCCCCAGGTGAAGCACAGTCAGCCGCGAGGCGTTGCAGAAGGATGTTTTACCCCCATGCCCCCTACAGTGGTGGTTGTGGGTGCCAGGAATGCGACATTGGTGGGGAGCTGAGCTGTCTGGCTTGGACATGGCCTGGGGTGCTGGAGTGGGACATGGGAGATGTGGGTCCAACTGTGTACCAAGGGGGGTGAGCTGATTTCTCTCTGGGCACACAGACAACGAGGAAACGGAGGGCAGTGATGTCCCTGCGGACTATCTGCTGGGAGATGTGGAAGCAGATGAGGACGATCTGTATATGATGGACCATGAGAACCCGCACGGTGAGCACATGTCTGGTGCTGGGAGGTATTGCCTGTCCCAGCCACATGGCTGGATTTTTCTCCTGGCCTTTCCTGCTCATTCCTGATCAGACATCTCCCCTCACAGCTGAGGAACAGGAATATAGCCTGCCCCAAGAAGCCTTTCCCCTACGCCATGAAATCGTGGACAACCCGTCAGCTTTGGACCACCTGCAAGACAAGGCTGACTCTCCTCACGTCAGCGGCAACGAGGCTGAGACGGTGTCGCTGACACCCGTGGAGTCCTTCTCCCTCATCTCCATCTCCCACTCGCTCTATGAGAACCGTCTGCCCTCCGACTTCTTCAATCCCATCGTGCGGGACACACTCCTATTCTACGCCGAGCAGGGAGATGTGCAGACGGCCGTGTCCGTCCTCATCGTCCTGGGGGACCGCATCCGCAAGGAAATTGATGAGCAGACCCAGGTAACCCCAGGAAGCCCCATCCTGGCTGTGCAGGAACTGAACCCTCCCTTCAGGGCTGGGTTCAACCCCAGGGGATGCAGTAGGGCACCTCGGTTGGTAGCAGAGGTAGTGTATCTCAATGTGATGGGATCTCACCTGGGCTCTGAGCATCTTCACTTCTTCTCCAGCCCCTGCCAGGCCCGCTCCAACTGGGGGTGGGCATCTCCAGGACGACTGGTATTCCAGCTGGCTGCCCTACCACCAGTCCCAGCAGGGACCCAGGGTGGTGTCCACAGGGCCATAGTGGGGAGGTGGCCTTGGTCTGTTGATTTGGGGAAAGACTTCTCTTCCGCAGCCCCATAGAGCAGCTCCTCTGCTTCAGGGATCTTGCCTTTGGGACACAGGGCTGGGATCCTAGGGGGTATTTTGGCTCAGCTCTCTGTGGCCATCCCCAGGAGCACTGGTACACATCCTACATCGACCTGCTGCAGCGCTTCCAGCTCTGGAACATCTCCAATGAGGTGATAAAGCTGAGCACGTGCCGTGCCATCAACTGCCTCAACCAGGCCTCCACCACCCTGCACGTCAACTGCAGCAACTGCAAGCGGCCCATGAGCAACAGGGGCTGGATCTGTGACAGGTGCGGGCAGGGAGGAGGGGACCATACCCTGGTCACCAAAGGGAGAGGAGGATGGGTCTGGTGCCCCTTGGTCCCCGGGTGCCCCCTCCAAGGACTCTTCCGCCTTCTCTCTGGTGCAGGTGTCGGCAGTGTGCCAGCATGTGTGCCGTCTGTCACCACGTGGTGAAGGGGCTCTTCGTCTGGTGCCAAGGCTGCAGCCACGGTGGCCACCTCCAGCACATCATGAAGTGGCTGGAGACCAACTCCCACTGCCCTGCTGGCTGCGGCCACCTCTGCGAGTACACCTGAGCCCCTTGCCACCCTGGGGCAATGGCAGGCAGCCAGGGGCAGAGCAGGCAGGGCCTCCTGCCTGCCTCTGCCTGTGCTGAGCAGGCAGGGGCTCCTGCCTGCCTCTGCCTGTGCTTCTCTCTCTATTTATTTTTGTGTGAACAGGGGTCCTGCATGCCCCTGGCTCTTTTGTACGGGATTAAAACAAAACCGAGCAGCAAAACTGAGCTGTGCCTCTTGTCCTTGCTTAACCCGGCTACAGCAACCCCCAGGAGTAGGCTTGGGGCTCCTGTGGGGCTCGGTCCCCGTTCTACGCCCCGCCCGCAGCTGCCCGCGGCACTACCGTAAGTGGCGCCCACCTTCCCCGCGGCC